AGCCTCCACATCACGCACTACGTGTAAATGCTGAATGTTCCTGACAGCAGCCAATGTGCCACAGAGGTACAAATAAAAAATTCAGACCGGCAAAGGGCAAAGAGTCAATTAGGAGGATTCCAGAGCATGGGAGAGATGGCAGGCTTCACCATTTTCTAATAAGCAGCTTCCTCAAGTCAGTAGCCTTCTTCTCAGGGATGCAGGCAGTTCGAGCTTTCAGTGCAGATGGAAGATGAATTTCCAAACTGCCAGCCAGTGAAATACACATTTTTCTTCATTTAGTGGAAGCAGAGCTGTGTTCCGGGACTAAGGATAACAGAGAGAAAGGAAACTAAAGCAAAGAATTCTGAACCAAGAGTGTTATCTGGAGTACAGCACTGTTGAAGGCCAGCCAGTTCCATAGGCACTGAAAATCTAGATCTGAAATGCTTATGTTATGTAGAAAAGGAGAGAGAAGAGATTGGATTTATACCCCGGCCTTCACTACCTGAAGGAGTCTCAGAGCGGCTTACAATCCCCTTCCCCTCCCCACAACAGACACCCTGTGAGGTAGATGGGGCTGAGAGCTGAGAACTGCCCTGAAAAGAACAGCTCTGAAAGAATTTATGACTGACCCAAGGTCATATCAGCAGCTGCATGTGGAGTGTTATCCCAGATTAGAGTCCACACTCTTAACCACTACACCAAACTGTAACGCAGAAATGACCTATCTATATGCTCAAAGCTAATTTTTTTTATAATCTCCATTGACTGGACTCAGTGCTTCATTTGTGAAAGAAGTTCTCAAAATTTCAAAAGCATCCACAAGTTCAAAAAGGTCAGGACTCTGATTCATCCACCAAACTGAGTTCTCTTAAAGCCATTCTGGTGCAATGGTTAGAGTGCCAGACTAGGATCTGAGAGACCTAGTGGCCAGTTACTCTGCCAGTTACTCTGCCAGTGGCCAGTTACTCTGCCAGCCTAACCTAACACACAGGGTTGTTGCAAGTATAAAATGGAAAGGGGGACAACAGTGTATGTCAGCCTTATGTCCTTCGAGGAAGGGTGGAACAAAAATGTACTAAATTTAAAAATTAGATTACTTCTAATAGTGAAGTCAGCCAAATCTGAGGATACTTAAATCTGGAGATGGGAGCAATGAATGGGCAAGATAGGTCTTTCTACAAACCTGAACAATGCCCCAGGTTTGCAGAAAAATCTAAAATCTTTTTTTAAAAAATTGACGGTTTAAAAAAACCCTAAATGATAAAAGGTACACCTGTAGATTGAACAGATTTCCTCAGTGGCTGTTGCTAGGCAACTACAGCATTCCAAGGCTTGGTTTTTCTGAGTAAAAGGCAGGGAGATGGGGCAAGGTCCTTTCCAGGGCTGTTTTGGCCTTTGAGGGAACACTCATTGGAGCCAGGCCTGACAGCAACCACCGGGAGACTTGACAACTTATATAACTCACCTCGGCCTGGCTACTTGCTATTCTTCAACAGCCACCACACTATGAAAACCAGTATGATGCAGCAATTAGAGCTTCAAAGTAGGGTCCGGGAGACCCAGGTTTGAATCCCCATCTTGTCATGGACACTCACTCGGTGATTTGGGGCCAAGTCACATACTTTCAGCCTAACCTACCTCACAGGGTTTTTGTGAGGAGATAAAAAGGAGGAGAGAATAATATATGCTGCTTTGGTCCACACTGTAGAGAAATGTGGGGCGTAACAGAAATAAATAAATAATAAATATAGCTGAAGAAAGGGAAGTGAGATGCCCCCCCCCCCAAGTCCTTGAGGGTTCCCTACCATGTACACGGCCCTGGCCCAATGGCCAGCACCACACAACTGGGCCATATTTTTCCTAGGTAGAAGCTGGGGGGGGACCTGAAAACAAAGGGGCAGATAAACGTGGGTTGGCTGTTGATGGGAAGGAGAGAAGGAAGGAGGAAAAGAGGAGAGGCTATTAGGGCTTCCAGGGAAGGGACAGAGGAAATAGTGTGGGAGTGGGGAAATAAGATGTTTCCTGCAAGTTCTTGCAAGTTCCTACTTGTACTGTTTGAATTCTAAAGAACAGATCCATGTGACACATGCCTCTGAACTTGCTATTTGTTCATAGCAAGAACAGAAAGAAAGAATGAATTCTATTTTTGCCAAAAGCTGTGGAAATGCTAGGCATACATTCCAAAGGATGGCTCTCCTTTCCCTCACCCTGACCATTTCCACAGTAGTGATGCCTGCACTGACATTTTTAAATCTGTGCATTATGTGAAATTTTCTGCAGATCTTTCCTCACCAAGCACAAACCTGAAGTTTTCTCCTTATTTCCCTGAGTTTTTGGAATACACGAAAATTGGGAATTCCAAAAACACAGGGAAAGGAGAACACTTTTGGTTGGTGCCTGATGAGGAAAAATCTACTGTGGAGAATTTCACATCACATGCAGATTTTAAAATGTCAATGCGGGGAATTTCACTACTGTGGAAACGGTCCCTATTTATTCAGCATGAGATAATCAACTAGAGGTGATCTTTTGACAGAACACCCATAGAAGCAGATGCATGGAAATCACAGTATTTTCCAGATTTAAAAGCAATTAAACCACAGATTTTAAAAAGCAGCTGTTCCAAATCAGATTTGTTCCTGTCCTTTGTACCAAAGCAAGCGTAGCTTAGTGTTCTGTTATATGAACTGTATGTAAAATACTTTCGTAGTGAAACCTTTAATGGGTTTACGCATCATAAATGGGCAGGGGGACCACTTGTTCTCAAGAACACACTATCACACTTCAATGTTAAACACCCCATCTAGGAACACACAAACAAAATCAGAAAATTCTGTGTTTTGTTAAACTGGCATTAGTAGATGCAGCAAAACTGTTTTTTATTGAACCTACTGCACAAATTAATATAGCTTTTTAAAACAGTTCTAAGACAAAAGCAGCCACAGAAACAATGGAGTCCATTGTGTGGCTTTTATAATTCCATATTATCAAGAATTTCTCAGAGTCACCTCAGATTGCTCACATTTATTTATTTATTAGTTTTATAACCCTCCCTCCCCTGTACAACAGGGCTCAGAGTGGGTAACAACAGTATTTTAGAAGAAGAGTTGGTTTTTATACCCTGCTTTTCACTACCGGAAGGAGTCTCGGAGCGGCTTGCAATCGTTTTCCCTTTCTCCCCCACAACAGGCACCCTGTGAGGTAGGTGGGGCTGAAAACTGTGACTGACCCAAGGTCACCCAGCTGGCTTCATATGGAGGAGAGGAGAATCAAATCTAGTTTTCCAGATTAGAGTCTGTTGCTCTTAACCACTATACCAAGCTGGCTCTCAACAGATACCCACACACCTAAAATAGTATAAAAACAACAGACACAAATCCTGCAGGAGTCAGGCCACCCTCTGAAACAGGCAACTCTACCTTAAAGACAAAGTACCTCCAACTGACAGCAGTGGAACTTAATTTCTAATCTGCCTGTTTAGAGTTGCAGCAGACATCTGATGAAGTGAGCTCTGACTTACAACAGCTTACCCCTTGGAAAATTTTGTTGACCTCTACGGTGCCACTCAACTCAAATTCTGTTCATGCTATGCTGTAAGCATCATGGTTTTAAATGGGGCTTTACACCCCTCACTTTCGCTTACGGACAAACCCCAGGCAACACAGAAGATGCACAAACATATCTCCGACTTTTTTTGTACTTTAAAACAGCCATGGGGGGGGGGCTAACAAAGGCTGCGGTCACGCACACTAAATAATCCACTTTCAATGCACTTTCCAACTGGATTTAACTGTGTGAACTGGCAAAATCCAGTTGGAAAGTGAATTAAAAGTGGATTGAAAGTGAATTATTTAGTGCATGTGACCATAGTCATAATTAAGGAAGTGTTGGATGGGGTTAAAAACTACTTTTCCCCACACCAGCCAAAATCACCTCCCCCTTTCAGTTCTTTTATCCACCATCCTCCGAAGAGCTCACAACAGCACAATGGTTTTCATCTTCTTTTTTTGCCTTCACAACAACCCTGTAAAATAGGTGAAGTGGAATGACTGACACATGCACAGTGTTCCCTCTAAGCTGAGTTAGTGTGAGCTAGCTCACATTTTTTAGCCTCTGGCTCACACATTTTTGTCTTAGCTCAGGAAGGATGGCTCCAGAGCAAACTAATGTATGCAGTAGCCAAATCACCTGCTCACGACTTTAATGCCAGTAGCTCACAAAGTAGAATTTTTGCTCACAGGGCTCCATAGCTTAGAGGGAGCATTGGCTCACACACGAGGTTCATGCACGATCTTAGATCTGAGCATCAATATCTAACCACTATATTGCTTTGGCACCACCAAGGCTCCTGAATCCCCCCCGAAAGGGTTAATAGGGCAGAATTAGATCAAGGAAACCGCACAAGGGGACAAGGCTGCCCTCTCTTAACTGCATGGCCCCAATACAATTCCAGTGTTCCCGGCAGCTGCCCCCCCAAACAGACAATAACAAATGCAGAGATCTCCTGCATCATACCTCATCTGGCTTTCATTACGTCCCCTGTTGCAGTCAGACATCCAGTGTATTCTTCAAGTACTGTGCAAACTAGGTTAATTGTAAATGCCAACAATAAAAGAACTGTGGTCCTTCACCTTATAATAGCTTTCAACAAGTCGTCCAAATCCTGGTATCATTTATTCGCCTGAGGCCCAATTTTCGGCTCATTTCTGATGCAGTCATGTGTCATGATGCAACTGTATGGTTTTCATCTGACATTGCCCTATGGACAACATTTCTTATGAATGCATCCTCATGTAACTGTATCAGAGACTTAACCCATCCTGGAGAGCTTTAACTTTCAGTGGACCTCCAGGAAGTGGCAAAACTTCAGATCTTTGACATGCACACACGACATTTTCACCAAGAAAAGAAAACAAACAATGCATGAAAGTGGCAGTGTGAAAAACATATTAAAAACTAACCAACTGGCCTGATAAGCTACAATTCCTCTTTTCACCTCCTCTTGAGAACAGGGGAGCACATACATACAGGCATACTGAAGACATCCCGCAGCCAGGCCTTTGGTACCAAAAGTAGTATGACTGAAAGAAATCCAGACTTTCCCTGATGTCACATTTATTGAAGTCCAGGTATTAACCTTATGAAATTGGTCCAGGATCAGCAAACACAGCACATCAGACGTCACACGTTCCCTTTCCGTTATAAAACAACCAGCACGTTTTGTTTCCCTTGATAGGGTCTCTAAACAATTTGCAGTAGCAGGAAAGTCCTAGAAATTTGGTCTTCTTTAAGGTGCAAAATTACCACATAAACCTCTGGAGTTCCTCATTATTTTGCCACTGAAATGTTTTGTTCAAGAAGAAATGAAAAGTCACTGCATTTATCAAGAGATAAAAAGCCAACTCAAGGAGAAGTTTCAAAAGTGATGGCATGGGAATGTGCAACTTGTACATAACATACGGCAAAATGAAGTAACGAAATTCTAGAAGCTTCTGGGGAACTGTGGCTGTGAGCAAACATACAAAATAGACCATTTTCCAAAAAACATTCTTTGATGTTAACATGTCTGTAAAACTCCAGCCAGCAAATATATAGACTGGAACTAACACATACTTCACAAGCTCATGCCGTTGATAAAGTTTTCTCCATATGTAAAATGGATAATGCCTGTTATCTGCAAGCAAATACTTATGAACATACGTAAACTTCCAGACCAGGAATAATGAGATGATGGCAAGGATACTGTATTGCAACAAGTGTCTCTTCACGGAATGAAGAAAACTGATAATTTTGCTCGGGGTCATTAAGTAAGGAAAGGAAAAAAAGAGAGTAAAAGAGAAGAAATAGAAGATCTGAGGGAAATGCAGACAAGCTTCATGACTGCTCCGGTCACCCACAACTATGCCCCCATTGATGAAAATAAAAGCAAAGAAGACCACCACCATGCCAATATATGGCCAAGTCAAAAGAATGAGAGTGGTTATGTTTTTAAGGGATGTAACATATTCAAGGAGGAACCTGAAGATGCTGATTAGTTCTGAAAATGATCCCTTTGGGGGCAAGCTCTTTTGCTCTTTTCTTTTCAGCAGTTCCACCTTCCAGGCTTCGCTCAGCTTATCTGCAACAACACTTCCACCACAGAACACAGTCCATATGATGTTGGTCTGACGAAACATGAAACCGCAAAATCCAAGAAGAGCTGAAGTTTTATGATTACCATAAAGGCACATTAAATAGGCAAAAAGAGTAAAAAATGTGGAACCTGTGTCGGTATAATAAAGGAAAGTAAAAAAATAAAGCACTGGAAATATTGTTAGTGTCAAGGTTGAGACAATTCTCTGGAATCCAGAAACAGCCTAGAGAGGGAGAGAGAAAATGAAAGAAAAAAACAAGGTTAGTATTATTGCTTCAATTAAATATTAAAAGCAAAATGGGCAATATATGTATTGGGGAGCTCTGTCCACCCCCAACTTATCCTGACTGGAACCGGGAAAGCTGTGGATAGCATCTGATGGCACTAGGGTTCCCAAGTACTTACCGCGATCCGGCAGGGGACACATGCTCCCCCAGCTGGACCATTCCTCCCTGTAATGCACCATGCCATCGCCAGGAAGTGATGCTGGGCGACGCTCTGGCAATGGGGCTGAAAACTCGATGGTAATGTCTGTCTGCTGGAACCCCCTTCTCCTTCCCAACTCAAGGTCAGTGAGCCAGACACCCATGTTGGTGGTGTAACTGTGGAAGGCAGAGAGACCGTCTTGGGGGTGGGGGAGCCTCACAATATGCAAGGAACGTCTACTGCCCAAACTCCACTGAACTGAAAAGGGAATTTGTGAACAACCATTCCTAATGACTTGTGGCCAAAGAACCTCATTCTTAGAATTCCCCACTTCAACACACAATATTTCTGACCAAATGATGCATAAAGGTGAAATACAATGTGGACCTGAGCTTTTCTTTGCACCCAAAAGACTGTAAAAGTAAAGTAGTCTAAAACAGAATGTTAAATCTCTTGACTGTTACAATACTAATAACAGGAGTCCAACGTCACTAGTACAGGTGCAGTGTTACACACCTGCATAAGTCTCTGTTTACCACGTGACTTTGCTTCTACTGAACATAGTTTTACTTATTTGGACCCCTTCAATTGAACCCAAATTTCTCCATCACACATGTGCAAAAGACTCCTTTCAACTTTCAGGAAAAACAGGAAGAAAGCAGCATAATCCAGGATGCTAGGACTATTCAGATGTTATTACAGACTCAGAACAGAATACAGCCTCCTCATATTATGTCAAATTTTGACATGTTAATGGGGCTACTGTGTACAGGAAAAATTCTATTTTAAGGATAATAATATTTGCACAGTACCTTTTTCTGGTGTATCCGGGAAAAAAGCAAATATAGTAAATAGAAGTTCCCAACGCTGAAAAGGAGATTAATGAATCTGAGCATCCCAGTAGAGCAAATTATGCTTCCAGACCATCCAAAGAGCCAGGCTGCGGGTTTCACGACTCCAACGGACACCAAATATAAACCAGGCAATGTAGTAATCATAGGGTCCCACTATTTAAAAAATGAAAAATAAGACAATGCAATTAAAATACACTATATATTAGACTTTTATTGTGTGTGTGTGTGTGTGTGTGTGTTTATAAGGGTTCATCTCCCCTGTACAACAAACGTAAGTATTGTAGGTATATGTGGAACTTACAGTGCAGTCCTAAGGAGAGCTGCATCCTTCTAAGCCCACTGATGTCAATGAGTTTAGAAGGGTATAAACCCTGTTTAGGATTGCACTGTCAGCCATCTTGCTACACGACTGGTATGCAGATAGCTGCTTGCATGTTGCAGAAGAAGAATCACAGAGGAAGCACATGTCTCCTCCTGCCCCTACTTGCTTGCAAAATATGAACCTGCCAAAAGGCACCTTTTTAAAACGTTCATTTTGATTCACTTTATAATTTTGTTAGATCTGTTATGCAGGGAACAGGAAGTGAATCTTAACACCTTCATCAGTACCATATATAGATTTAGGAAGGGAAACTTAAGTGAATATATCATTTTATTTATGTATTTAGTACATTTTTATCTCACCTTTCCTGACAGGAGCTCAGGATGGCATATGATGTTCTTCCCTTCTCCTTGTTATCCTCACAACAAGCTTGTGAGATAGATTAAGCTGGGAAAAGGCAACTGGTCCAAGGTCCCCCATTAGCTCCATGAACCCAGAGGGGGGGGCTTCCCAAATCATAGTCCAACACTCCAACCACTACACCACACTCGGTCTCATTACAAAGTCTCATGCCATGCTACAAAGAAGGCGATATGTCCTAAAATGATAGCATGCGAGTAAAACATTCAATTGCTTTTTAGTCACTGCAAACCCTTTCCTCCAACTTGGTTTGTATCAATGGATCACTACAAAGATCACTTTAAACTGTTCATAGTATTGGACACACTACACAGGATACTGCCTTTGTTCCTTTTGCTTAAGGGCTGTGAAGCAATTTCATACCATAAAATAGTTTGTCCTGTAACTTAAAACTTGCAGATCACAGCTTGGATTCAAAGTGCCACACTCAAGAGGTTAAGACTTTGGGCTCTTCTCATTTGAACAAAAGATCCGTGTACCATAAGGCAAATGGAAGGGAGTTTCCAAACAGATGTAATGAGTATCAGCTGCTGTTCGGAAAAATCAAAGTTTCCTTGGTCTGCAGAGCTAATACTGTTCTTCAAATTCAGGCCAATTTTTTAAAAATGCCAATTAACCTTTCAACTTGCTTCAGCAAATATATCTGCTCTTATAACAGTTTATTCCTTCCGGTATCCTGCCTCCTCCATTGCTCATCAACCTCTCTCTCTCTCTTTTTTTTGTTCCACCCCCATGCAATTATTTCAGACATCCTTAAAAAGGGGAAATCATTGCAGGACATCTCCATTCCACCCACCCCCCTTCAGTAACTGACATACTGTTATTGTTGTGGTACTAGGTTGCCATTCTTTTGACTGTACAAAAAACAAGCCCTCACCTGGATAAGCCCAGGCAAGCCCGATCTTGGAAACTAGGCAGGGCCGACCCTGACAAGTATTTGGATGGGAGACCTCCAAAGAATACCAGGGCCAGGAGGCAGAGGCAGGCTATCAAGCCACTTTTCTGAATGTCCTCTGTGCCCCAATAGGAGTCTCCAAAGGTTGCCATGACTTCCAGGCATGGGCATGCACACATGCACAGACAAAAATGCAAAAATACCACCAAAAAATCTTGAACAAACCACTAATGATTTGGTGGCTCTGTTTTATTCTGTTCTATTTGTTCTTTCAGCTGCTTTTAATACAAATGACCATCAGATTTTTCACTTCTCCAGTCTAAATTTTAGGGATTTTTTCTCTCTGTCTCCCTCCCTCCATCTTTTTCAATTACCTTATTCAATTTTTTTGCCAGTTCTTTTCCTCTGCTTCCTTCGTCTTGGTGGTCCTTAGCTTTTTTTCTCTCTGCACTGTTGCTGGGATCAGATAATCCTATGCCTAATCATACCTTTCCACATACTGGAAGTAACAGTCTCATTCCAAGATTTCCATGCTTGGCCTAATGTTTGAATAGCATACTCAAATATAAAGTCCAATGGCATGTATCCAGTCATACAGTTTCAAAGACTTAGTGGCACTTAAAGTCTTCATAAGACTGAGCAGCAACTTCTGCTGACCCCCAGGAATAAAATTTCAGTGGGCTCAGTGAACTGTTGTGAGAATCAGGGTAAGTTCCACTCTACAGAGTCTTCTTAATTCCACACAATGCCAGTCTCTGCATTGGCTTCCTTTCTGCATCAACTTCAGGTTCCTAGATGCTACCAATTACAACTTGACCCTATGTATGCTTAATAGGTATTATTCCCAAATAAATATGCATAGGATTTAATTGAATTATATTTGTCTTAATGTGAGCAAAGAGATGGGCGAGTTTTAAATAATTAAGAACAAATACTATATGCTTCAAAACAACTTCAGTAAAGACACTAAAGAAATAGCCCCAATATAGAGGCTACTTGGAGAACACATATTCCAAAATAGGGCTGTCAGGCTCTCTGGTAGAAGGGTTAGGATGGGGATACAGGGGGGCCATGATACCATGTACATCTTTACATCACTTCCAGTGAAAACCCAGAAGTGACATAGGGTAGTGAGCTCTAGGAATTGCCTGAAACTCTATGGTTTTCGCTGAAAGTGACGTACCAGCACATGCAATGCTGTTGTGTTTTTAATATTTTTTTTCCTGCTGCTGCTGCTCCAATGGGACCTCAGGGTGGGGGTGAGTGCCCCCAATGTGCGGATTTAGATATCCGCTTGGAGGGGGCATGTTGGGAATTTTATATATATATATATATATATATATATATATCAGCAGCTGCCTCAAAATGAGCAACATGAGATTTAAACACTTATGTGGAATAACATCGAAGCACTTTATTTGAAATCTGCCGCCAGTACTTTGTAACATTTGTAATGCATTAGTTTAATTGTTGTGTTTTAATTCTGTACTATTTATGCTTTTATTTTGTATTGTTGTTGGAAGCCGCCCTGAGCCTGCTTTGCGGGGAGGGCGGGGTATAAATTTGATTATAAATAAATAAATACCAAAAAAGGTAACTGCTGTTTGGTTCAGATCTGTAGACTAGTTTTAATTCTAATCTATGTATTCTTTTTTAAAGAGACCCATTTTATCTTTTTATTATTTATGAGTGCACATTCACAAAATGGTACAGGGAGACTAGCATTCTGGCTCTCTGTATATTTACTTGGAAGTAAACTCCACTACCTTCAGTGGCATGCACTTCCACGTTGTGCGTTGGAGTACATTTTTAATGTGGTTTTTCCGTTCTCTCTCTGGGTGTGAGAGTGACTGCAGTCCTTCTAGACTGGTAGTGAGTTTTTTGGGCAGGGGGAGTGGAGTTGGCAGGGAGATCTGCAGGCATCACTGGCTTTCAGAAGGCCAGCAATAGCCAGAGGTCATCAAGCTGGCCAGCTAGAGGAGCAGGAGTGGGGTGCATGCATGCTCTGATGAGGAGTAAGTTGGTTGAACATTTGGATATTCAAGTGCCAGATAACAAAGCTTTCACTGCATTTATAAATACTAAACATGAGTTTGAGTTTTATGTTTTGTTTAGTGTTAACCGATATAAGAATCCTGCACTTTATATTGGGGAGTAGGAAACTTGTGTGCAGGGACTTTGGAAAGGAGTCCTATTACCTATAGTAAGCATACAATGGGGTCCCACTTCAAAAACTATGAGAGTCACTAATCCATACAGTTTGTATTTTCTCACCATTTAAACCTTGAGAGCATAAACTGCTGAGGTCTCATTAGCATGGGTTTTATTACCATTGAAGCAGCTGCAACCCAAGAGGAGAAGGAAATGTGGGGCAGGGTCTGGGTAAGAAACTGGACTCTAGAGTCCCATACACAAGTTATGAAGCACGTGCAGTCTGTGTACAGCATGTGTGTGAATTTTCTTTATATGTACACGAAAGGAGCAATTCTTACATTGCACTGAATTCATATATGGCTGAATGTGCAATTTAAACCCCACTTTTACCCAGGTGATGGTTTTAGCCTGCTCACATATTACACTGAATGAACATACATCTGTTTCCAAAAAAGAGCAGATGGGCCTTCACTTTAAAAATAAAACCTGGAAAAATAATGCATATGTTCAAGCTGCATATGCACTGAAGGTAACCTAAGTATTCCAATCAATCAATCCAAAGCCTTTTATTGGCATATAAATAAAGATACAGTAATCTAAATACAAAATCATGCAGAGTAAAATTAAAATTGCACAGTAACATCACAGAGTAACATCATAATAAAACCTAATTCATAATATCACTTATCAGGCCAAAGGACCATGGCACTGCAGAGAAACTTTGCTACTATTTCAGTTATTTCTGTATCTGGATTATCGAGCAAGAAAAGGAGTTTAAAATCATCAGGGGTCTCTAAAAATTGACCTAATATGGGATATTAACCTAAGTATTACTCAAGTACAAAGAAGAATGAAGTGTTAATTACAAACACAGACTGGTTCCTTCTTCCAAATGTCTGGACAGGATGTACACTTGTCCACCAATAGGATCGCCAACCTCCAGGTGATACCTGGAGATCTCTTACTATTACAGTTGATCTCCAGGAGACAAGCATCAGTTCCCCCAGAGAAGGGTTTTCGGTGACTTGCGAACGAACACACTCCATCGCACTCCGATGGGTGCAATTCAGATCGAGGCCGCAGGGAGGGGGTTTGGAAGCCTTTGATCCCCCCCTGAAACTCTTGTAGGGAGCTTCTACCCTGGAACTCTGGAGAAGCCGCTCCCGAAGCCGCGGCTGAAGGATTGAGGCTCTTTTTTGCTCCTTAAGGTCCCGCTGCCCCGAGGCCAGCAACGGCAACCAGAGACGTTACCAGACCAGAGCGTGTAAGGACTTAAGCAAAAGGACTCTCCCTACGGGATGACACCCAGCGAAAAAAGATAGTGAGTCAACAAGTTTCAAAAGAAAGACAAAAGTAAAGAGG